ATATAATCTAAGTAGTTTCCTTGAGGAACCGCCTGATACATGGAAAGGGACGTTATCTTAGAGAGTTATGGTTTCTCCAAGTGCATTTCAGGATTGCGACCGAGAAAGACGTGCTTCATACGTGCAAAAAAATCAATACTATGGAGGATGCTATTTACTGGACCCCATGGATACGTCACTCGGTATTGAATTTCCACCCAAATCATTAGTTGAGAAGGATATTTGCTTCTGGAGATCCGTTAAATGGATTTATCTGAGGAACTTATTTCACAAATGAAGTTTCTTCACCCCGTGTCTAGCTCATCCCCCGTCAGACATTTGTTAATATAACAGTTCGAAAGCGAAAATGACTAGCGATGCGGTTCGAATTGGAAATCTCAAGTACCCTTATTCGTTTGACGTTAACTTATGGCTTCATATCAGCTGTTCATATCGGCTGTTTTTGAAATTTAATCGTCTTTCTTGAAAAACGAAAATTTTGGTTAATCTCTCTGTACGATCCTCAAAAGAGGTTATATGTAACCCCTTTCAGCTGCAAGCTTATACAGTTATCGTCTTACTATGTTGTTGACGGTTTTCCTTCACATAGCTGTTTTGCCGGAGAAGTTCGTGTGAACACTGGTCTTTTCGATCCGATGCAGTGATATTGTTTTCTCAGTAGAAATACTATCCGACCCCAAAACTTCTAAATTTCGTTCAGTTTCAGTTTAAACAACCATTAGGCATGCACTGTCATGCGACTTTTGGTTGCTGTCTTTTGGCTGCCCATTTGAGTGAACCATAGGAGGACAACAGGGAGGTCGAAAATAGGATCGAAGAGAAAATTGGGAAGTTCTGTGGACTAATGATGCAGGAAAATTGAGAAGATGCACGAACGCCATTGTTTACGACACGCAGTCATATCACTCAGTGTGTCTAACCATCGATTATGATCATCCCGAGGTCCCCATCCAGGGAGCCTAACGGGACCTGTGTGACCTAGACTCCTGGTTAGAGTTTTCATACCCTCATGCCAGGTCTTAGCTTGAACAACCTTGGCTTTATTCCACCCGCTACCTGCCTCTGCAAACTTGGATCACCGTTTTCATTGATTTGGCCTGTAAGCTTATCTTTAATTTTTGCGACTAACTCGTGCATGAAGATGAATTAGCGTCACCCATGTCTCTGATGATGACTGCCCGCAAGCGACGTTCAACAGCAAGGTTGACGCTGTGTGAAGGCCAGTTCTAATGTCAACTTCGGAAGCCATAAACGGCTTTTAGGTCCATGTGCTCCATATTTTCCTTCAATGTCATGATCTCGGTCTTCAATTGACTACCGAGACGACAGCGCCGTCCCGAATGATGCATTGGGAAAAGAGTTCTTCAGGAGTGCTCCGTAACGGAACGCCAGTAAACATGACGCTGGTGTTGCAACAGTGTAGAAGGCTCTTCTACAGAACAGCATCGCCGGCGGACTTCCTCTTTAAATAGTCGATCGTGCCATTCTGCCCTTAAGATGTAGCGCAGGTACCAGTTATCAAGAACCTTAGGTCTTTGGAGGTTTCCGGCGCTTACTAGCCACATCTAGCAGCCGTAGTTTAGGACAGGTCAGACGGCCGCTCGATAGACTCCCACATTCATGGGTAAGCTGATTTCGACGAAGTTATAGAAGTGTGCGTGACATCCACTCGTTGCAGCATTTGGCTTGGCGTTGAGCTGAATGGGGGTGCTAAGGTATTTGATAACATTAACAAATTCAGGTGCCTCATTGATAGAAGTTGGTTGTGTTTGTCAGGAAGGTAAAACTTTTCCCGAAAATCGATCTATTTCTTTGAAAAATCAAAGTCAACCATTAAGAAAACGCGGAAGGTTGCTGATAATTCGTGGAACGTCCTGTGGCTGACGAACAGCTATGTAAGTCCACGATCTAATTGGTCATCTTAGCCGTGGAACGCTCCATTACGATCCTGTACGATACTCAAAAGAGGTTATCAGGCACCTTTTCTAAAGCTTTCGAGGCTAAGACGCATATATGTGCACGTTTGCCCTCGAAGTGTAGCAGCACCCCCTTGAATACAACCTTCGCGGTGATCTTATTTGCTTCCAATTTTGAGAGGTCGGCGGTTGGAGAGTTGCGAAGCAATTAATAAATGTCACTATGAGCAGTTTAGCCGCTATGTCCACCAGACTGACACCATGGTATTTCTCGCACAGTCTTGTCACTCTTCTTTGGGGTGAGCAGAAGAACGGAGATGGCCTTTTCCCACATCCGATGAACTAGCGAATGCATTGGGTTGAGTGAAACCAGTGCAGGTTCTAAAAACTCCAGTTTAATACTGTCTTTGGGGGCTTTTTGGCACATTCTCACTTTTCGGTTTACTAACCGCCGAGATGATTTCCTCCCTAACTGGTGGCCTCCGTTTCGACTGCCATTCCTGACCGATACCTCTTCCAGTCCGTCTGAGAGATGTGGCTCAGAACAGAAGTCAGTTGTGCAAATGCTGTGCGGTCTGCCTTTGAAAATCCCGTGCCCCTTAAAAAAACGATAAACTAACAAAAAATATCAAAATGTGTACGATAAAACACAAAAAATTGTTACTCCATTTGTCTACCATTTTTCATTTTAACTGTTTCACCTTCCTTTCACTCTGTTTTGTATCCCAATCCACCCGTGCCCTGTGATTGGTAATGTTATTATTGTTGTGGCGTTGGCACCATGCTTTCCGCAAGCCGATGTTGAGTATATCCATCCTGGCGAGGCGAGTAGCTTCGTGTCTAAGGATACGGGTCTCAGGGAACTTGAGGAGTTGTGCCTCTCTTACCTTATCATGCACCTGAAGCGTTTGTTCGGAGATCCAGTCTTCATGCTATCGCGTACCCTTCTTTGCCTCACTCTTACGCGCAGTAAATGATTGTATAGTTGTTTCTCATTAAGCTGCTCGATTAATTTGTGATCACTCAGAAATCTTTTCTTTTCAACCAAATGCTCTTTCTTTTTCCACTCAATTTTTTTATCGTTTTTGTATATGCACCACAACTCACGTGATCGTAGTTTGATGTTCTTCGTGTTTTTCTCCTCATCCGCAGTCCTCAATTCAAGTTAAATGCTGTGCTACCCTCACTTTGTCGAGCTATTCAGAAACAAGCATCTATTTCGCTTCAAAAGAAGCATCGTTCAGCTTCCAGCATAAACCGAGTGAGTCGGTCAGTTTGGTGAGAAAACTCCCCGTACTTTTTCTAATAACTATGCTAAAATTTACAGCAGACTTATATCCTAGCTATTCTCCGCTTTAGGAGAAAATGCTACGATTCCTTAAACACTTATTTGTTATTCTTCTTTCGCATTTTAAATAATAACATTGATTCCCTACATTCAGATATTCTTCACGACTGCCAAAGCGCTTGGATTTGATTCTAAGGTAACTTAGTTCGAGAACAAGTGAATAACGTGGAGGTTCTCGATTCGTTGCTTTTGCATCACGCACATTGATTACCGCATGACTTTGGATTAGTTGTCACTTTGTTAAATGTTAACAAAGTACTGAAAATCGATTCCCGTAGCTCAGGTGGACTGAATTTACCTTCACCTGTTTGCCGGGTTTGGAAATTTGTTTGCAGACGTTGCATCACCACCCGAGTTGCCGTCCTCAGTGCTTGAATAGTTCACCACACTTCACAGGTGTGAGCAACAATCAAAGTGGTGAACTCAATATACACCGGGTCCCTTTTTCATAACGGGACACTCCAGCCCCTCAAACATGGAATGGTCAATCGCTTGAAACCTCACTGGGACAGCCAGTTATTATCTGTTCGACAGTGATATTGTATCACCCGCTTCAGTGCTTCAATCCCGAATGTAATGGACATTTATGTGTCACTAACCACCAGGTTCACTCCTGTAGTCCGTTTGTTCGCTTGCACATGCTGAGGTTCACCGCCCGTTCCGTGGTTGTGCTTCATACCGTGCTATGCTAGTATGATGTACGATTCGTGGTGACACGGCACTAACATTTGCACGTCAATTAAAGTCGCAAGATACAATTTTTCAACCGGAACATAATTCCGGTTTCTGTACAATCTAGTTATTGTGATCATGAGGCGATCAGCAGTCCCCGTCACGGGCATGAATAATTACCCCCTTTCATTTATTGAGTCACACTTCGTTTTCTCACTTCACTCTAACATTTTATTATCGTTTTGTATGTATCCTTTTGTGTGTATATCACAGGGTGCTCCGGGTGTTCAACATGCCGCTTTCCTACTTAATCGAGATTTGGCTGTCGCTTTGCCCGGGCAACTGGACCCATATTTGGATGACATTCTAGCAGTGATTCATGCTAGCTCCAGGTATGTGTTATGTAGGCCGATTTCCAGTATAAATCGTTTGACTGTGCTGTCACAGGTTATCCAATCCGATTGAGTATGGCTGCCAGGATTATACATTTGATGACAGACCCGCGATCGAAACACTTATAAACACAATATATGTTCAACTTGGAACGTTGAAATTTTTTCAGAGATAGTCATTCTTGTGTCCCGGCATCAATGTCAATAGTGTTTAGTTCAAGTAATATTTTCGTTGAACGGGGTAACAGATCATGGTGGTTCGAACTTTGAGATTAAGTAAAAGGTACAGCCCGTCATAATCGTTTGCTAAGCAGGCTAACAAGTAGACTAACAGGCTCAGAAGAGAAAGACAGTTTCTTGGATTGCACACATGTGCGGTTGGACATACGAGAATCCGATAGCCTAATGTTTTAGTTCAGTTCAGTTCTTCCAACCATTAACCATGCACTTTCGTGCGCCGGTTTTGGTTGCTGTCTTTTGGGTACCCATTTGGATAAAATAGCAGAATGATGATTAGAATGTTGAGAGCAGATTTAAGTGGAAGGTGGCACATTTTCATAGACTGAAGTTACAAGAATAATGAGTAGATGCATGGGCGTCACTGTTTGCGACACCCAAAAAGTTGAGAAAGACGGTTCTGCAAATGGGTACCTAAGACTTTTGGACACAACATACTTCGTGGTTGCCTACACCGACGAAGGGGTTTTTCTTTAGGAACCCGAACCGGAGCCTTCGACCCAAAAGTCTGACCCACAACGCGGGAGCGTGAACGAACCCCCCTGTGGGAGTTTCTGAAGACCTGTCACGCAAGGCCTTCGGATTTCGGTTAAGTTTGTTGTTCGCTGGTGCGTTGGTTGATGGTCCGCTTTTCAGGATCGGCCCTTAGCCTCATACACCCAATGAGACAAGCGGAACGTGGACGGGACAGCACCTTATTGGCT